ACCCCTGCTCAAAGCAGTACCATCTGACCACAGGACCATCCACTGCTTGGCTCTTGTTAGAATGTCCTAAGTTGGCTGGTTTGCGTTACCAGCTCCTGCTGGTTTATGTCACTGTCCCGTTGGCCCACCCTGCATGTCTGTGGAGCTGTGTTCTGGTCACTGCTGCCCTCATTCTTCCTTCCTGTTCTCTTCTCTTGTTTCACCCTCTTGCTACAACATCTCATTTCATGTTCCCTGTACGTGGGACAATCTCTGTGTGTTCATGGGACCCCTGCCGTGTGGTTTGGTGGGTTCTATCCCAATGCAGGTAAGGGTGGGAATTGACAGTGGTGCTACTTTTTGCCTTTACAGATGAAAGTGAAGCTTCTCCAGTCCTATGTAATGGACCTGAGTGACCAGAATGAAGTCTTAGTGCAAGCAATGGAAGAGCTGGAGAGAGAGGCTGCCTGGAAGGTGACCACGCTGGAGGCAGAGCTTCAGGTATGGCTGGTTGGGAAGTGCCTCCCGCTGTGAGCACTGAGCTTCAGCAACTGTGGCTTTTGGTTTGCGATGCTCTTGCAGCTGTCCCATGCTACCTGCACTTGCCTCTGTCACTGTTAATGCTCTGGTGTATCTGTACATAATCCAGCAAACCTCCACTTCCAGGCATAGTCTGTTATGAATTAATGACAGTGCCTTAGTTGACTTTATGTTTTAACCTCTCTCCACCCTGCTCTTGTGCGCTTAACAAAATGCCAGGATGAGAGCCATCTTGGGGAGGATTATACTTTGAAGTATTTTTACCTTTTCATACCTTTTGGAGTGTATATTGTCCCACGCTTTTTATCCTGGCTGTTTTATAAACTGGGTTTTTTTTTCTGACATGCTACCTCTCATGGAACTGGTACGCAGTACCTTGTAACCATTATATCAATGGCAGCTTGTTTTACAGCAAGCCTCTGAGGCGATGCATTTGGAGCCCCTGAAAATTCAGCTTCAGTGGTGAAGCTTTCATAGAGGTGAAAGACATAAGGAACCATGAGATTGCTTAGCCTGACTCCAGTGTAATCACAGGCCATTAAATTCCCCCAGAAGCTACTGTTTAACCCAACAACTTGAGTTATACCAAAGCATTTCAGTTCTGGGGACATTAAATGTCTCTGTGCTGCAGGAGGAACCAAAGGGCCAATGCCCAAGGCCTCTACAATGGCATGGAATAGTTATGAGATGATAAGCCCAGGTGACCCTACAGAGCTTAAGTCCCATGTGCTGCAGAGGAAATCCAAGTCAGAGAAAATGAGCATCAATCACACTGACTGTCCCTTCCTCCATGGCCTGGGGAAAATTCCTTGTCAGCTGCACATCTGAGCACATGAGCAGCGCTGCGCTGACCAGCCATTGGAGAGACAAGTCTCGACGTCACCTCACCATTGCTGGTGTGTTTTTTCCTTCCCACGGTCCATCTCCAGGTGTGGGCAGTCTCTGGTGCTTTGGAGGAAGGAGGTGCGAGGGGAAAGAAGAATCCTGTCCAGAAGGGATCAGCCCAGTCATCCAGCCCTGACCCCTTGCACACTCAGGCTGTAGAGTAGAATTTCTCCTAGGAAGTAAATTAAGCCTGTGATCTAGAGGAAGATCTAATTTTGTCTGAGACTCCAAGGGGTGGTGAGTCTACCACCTCCCTTAGAAAGGTGTTCCAACATTTAATCATCTTCACTACTATAAAACTGCATCTTATTTCAAAGTTAAACTTGTCTAATTTCATCCTCCAGCTACTGATTCTTGCTATGCCTGTTAGCAAATCTGTAAGGCCCCCAAACATTGGATATCTTGTCTTGATACATCAATAAGTACCTGTGCACAGTGATCAAGTCACTTCTCAACCTTTCCCACTCTAATCTAAAGAAGCTGAGCTCCTGCAACCCAGTAGCAGTCTTCCCAGTGCCGCGCTCAAAGGCACAATTACTTCTCTACTCTGTCCTATTTGTGTCCCAGAATCACAGTAGCCCTTTTTTGCCATAGCACTACACTGCAAGTTTACGCTGAAGCAACTATCATTGATGACACCAACACACCGCTTTTTAAGGCGGTCTCCCTTTCTGTAGGTAAAACCTACGTCCTTGTTTCCCTGTTTCAAACTTTGTTGGATTGTGAGTATTTGGCTGGGTGATTCAGGGCACTCCTGATAAAGCAGGGCAATCCCCAACTAGATCATTCCAGCTAGGGCTTTGTTGAGCTGGAGCTTAAAAACCACCAAGAACAGAGATTCCACTACCCCTCTGGGTAACCTGTTCCAGTGCTTCACCACCCTCCCAGTGAG